CATTTAAAACATTTATTTACTATCAATGTCTTCTATTTTGTGAAAACCGTTTTTATATACTGCCTTCTTTCACTGGCTGACATGTCTTTTTCTTAAAGGTTTATAAGAGACTGTAATTCTGAGTGTACTAATTCGTCCTAGATTAAATGCATTCTAAACATCTTATTGCAGTCTGTGTGGCTATTTCCTTACTTTTTAATGATACTGTTTCATAAACAAAGGCTTCTGCTTCTAAGATGCTTTATGGTTAGTGCTTTTGTGTCTTGTTTAAGCAACCCAAGGATTCCTATAATGCCATCTTTTAAAATATTTATAGCTATGCTTCTTGCTTTTAATTCTTTAAACAATCTATAATTGATGCTTTAACATAGTAATGTAGGATGCAATTTTTTTGGTTCGTGTGGATAAGTAGCTGTCCTGAATCACACATTGAATGGTTCTTCTCTTTCCTGCTGAATTGCAGCACCGTCCTGCACTTTGTCCTTTCTCTGGATTTTGTATTCCATTCCATAAGTCTCTCTTTCCTGTCCTTGCACCAACACCCTGCTCTGATCGTGAACGTGGATTTACGACTCACAGAGTAGGCTTCAGGAGCATCTTGTCTTGCCGTGGTCCTTTGCTCCTCCATATAAATGTTAGAATTATCTTGTCAGTTTCTACAGAGAACAGCGCTGGAATTTTCCCTGAATCTCTGACTCAGTGTAGGCAGATTTGACATCTTTGAATATTGAATCTTCCTCACCATAAATATGAAATATATTTCAGTGTATTTATGCTTTTCAATAAAGATGTGCAATTTTCCTCATGTGAGCTTTGGCACATATTTTAGTAATCGCTCCCTGTGTACCTTGCATTGATGTTGCTATAAAAATCTGTAAAAGTGACATTTCAAATATTGATGATTTATAACACAGTAACTGTGTTTTTGTATTTATTGATCTTATATCTAGTGCTTTACTAAATGCATACTAATTTTAATCACTTTTTTGGAGAATATTTCAAGCACTCCATCTATTTAATATATACAATAATATTAATACCTCCAAATAATGATAATATTTCCCTTTCCGTTTTCTTATTTTTTTTTACTTTATTTTATGGAGCTGTCTAGAACGTCTCAGAAATAATGATATAAAAATTATTCCTTCTTATTCATGATGCTATTATTTTAAAAATTTTAATTGGAGTATATTCTAACATTGTGTTAGTTCATGCTGTATGCCGAAGTGAATCACATACACACATACCCATTCTTTCTTAGATTCTGTTCCCGTATAGATCTTTACAGAGTATTGAGCAGAGTTCCCTGTGCTATACAGTAGGTCCTTATTAGTTATCTGTTTTATACACAGCAGTTGGAGAAGAAAGTGGCAACCCACCCCAGTATTCTTGCCTGGGAAATCCCACGGACAGGCGAGCCTGGCGGGCTGCAGTCTGTGGGTCGCAGAGTCAGACAGGACGGAAGCGACTGAGCACACAGCAGGGCGTGTGTGCCCATCCCGCTCTCCCCGCTGTCCCGCCCCTTGCTCTGCTTTAAATGTTTCCGCATTTTGTTATGAAGCAGGAGTCATCCTGGAAGCCGTGGTCCCACGTCCTGAGCTGAGGATCCGCCGATTACCACTCGGCTGAGAGCCTGCCCCTGCTCCCTCACTGGGATGCCAGGGCCGGGCGTCTGTGAATTCAACCTCCCAGGCTCCTTTGCCAGCTGGCATCTAATTAGGTTCTGCCCTCGGGAAGGTCTGATGGGAGATGGAAGGCAGAAGGAGGCGAGAGGGGACTTTCGTCCTATTTCCAGCTCCGGTCAACCAGGCAGCTGGAGCAGAAATCCAGATCCTACAGCTTGACATCCATCTCCCCGGGCGTCCCCAGCCCCGGCCCCTCCAGGACCCCTGAGACGAGCCGTGCCTAGTTAGCCGTTCTCTGACCACCAGCTGTGGGACTCCACATGACGGCCAAGCCGCAGCCAAACGGCGTCTGTGTGTGTGCGTGTATGTGTGTGTGTGTGTCTGTGTGTGTGTGTGTGTGTCTGTGCGTGTGTGTGTCTGTGTGTGTGTGTGTGTGTCTGTGTGTCTGTGTGTGTGTGTCTCTGTGTGTGTGTCTCTCTGTGTGTGTGTGTCTGTGTGTGTGTCTATGTGTCTGTGTGTCTGTGTGTGTGTGTCTCTGTGTGTGTGTGTCTGTGTGTGTGTGTGTCTGTGTGTGTGTGTCTGTGTGCGCGCGCGCATGTGTGTGTATAGGGGATGACCTTCTGAGCCACACATTCAGGCCTGGCTGTGACGTCAGTTCTCAAGATTGTTATATTTGAGCTGGCTCAGCCTGCTGGTGATAACTGTTCCTAGAATGTATTGCCTTGTGGGTACCTCACTGAACAAATACAAGCCTTCAGCAAATCAACAACCCCTGCATTAAATCTCCTAATTTAATATCTCTAGCAAAGTTTCGATATTCTGACTGAAGTGGAAATGAAAGTGTTAGTGGTTCAGTCGTGTCTGCCTCTTTGTGACCCCATGGACTGTAGCCTAGCAGGCTCCTCTGTCCATGGAATTCTCCAGGTGAGAATACTGGAGTGCATTGCCATTCCCTTCTGGTGGAGATCTTCCAGGCCCAGGGATTGAACCTGGGTCTCCTGCATTGCAGGCAGATTCTTTATCAGCTGAGCCGCCAGGGAAGTCCATAGACCTTAATTTATCGAATCACCTTTATTTCATAAGAAGATGTTGTTTCGTTTTAGTTTTCCTCAGGATTGGTGTCAAGTTTCATTCCTTCATTAATATGAATCAATTTCAATAACACGATGCGCTCCTCCTTAACTGTGCTAATGTCCTGTTTGAGTATCCAGATCACGCTAACCTGGTAGAATATGTTTTCCTAATCTCTGAGAGACTGCTCGGCTTAGAGACACCCTGTCATTGGAAGGTTGTCCGTGCCCTCCTCTTAAAGGAGCAGGGTTTTGGTTTTGATAAATTATTTTGAGAGTGTCATCTATTTATTTATCTAGCTGCAGTGTGTGTGCTCCACTTTTGTGGAGCGTGCGCTCTAGTGTGCATGGCTTGTTTGAGTATCCAGATCACGCTAACCTGGTAGAATATGTTTTCCTAATCTCTGAGAGACTGCTCGGCTTAGAGACACCTTGTCATTGGAAGGTTGTCCGTGCCCTCCTCTTAAAGGAGCAGGGTTTGGGTTTTGATAAATTATTTTGAGAGAGTCATTCATTTATTTATCTAGCTGCAGTGTGTGTGCTCCACTTTTGTGGAGCGTGCGCTCTAGTGTGCATGGCTTGGTAGCTGTGGCTCACGGGCTCAGTCGCCCCGTGGAATGTTGCGTCTGCCTGGACTGGGGATCGAACCTGTGTCCCCCGCACTGGCAGGCAGATTCTTAATCACTAGGCCACCAGGGAAGTCCTGATAAGTTATTTTCTATTTATCGAGTTAAGTTCATTAATGTATCAGAGATCTGAAATGAGAGATTAAGCAATGAAATCTATTTTAAGAGATCTGGAGAGTAAGTGGATGAGAGAATTAGCCGAAAATGCCAGGGGGAGTCCATGTGAAATTACTGCTCAGGAGGGCTGTGTGTCTTCTCCAGGCCTGTTCACTTCTGCACTATACTCACCTCAGCTCAACCCCATCTAAAAGGTACTTTTAGTGCTTTTAATAGACCAACTGTTATTATTTTTACATCTAATAGCATATATATATTATTTCTAAATCACACAAATTCTGTCTTATTCTTTGTTCACGATTATTCACATTTCACAGTGTGGTCAGCGTCTGTGCTTGTTCCTTGCCCTTCGTTCATCCTTCATTAGTGTTTTTACCAAAATTTCTTCTTACAGCTCATGTTTTCATTTTGGGGTCATTTTCATTCTTTCTGAAGTACATCTTTTAGAAGGATTTTTATTTTTTTGCTGAGGATCTGTTGATGTTTTCCTTTTGAAAATTTTTTATCCCCCTCTTGTATTTTTACTTGTCACAGAATGCTACACTAACCATGACTTTTTCTCAGCATCTTTAATGTGTTACTACACAACTTTACCATGGTTGCTATTAGGGATCTGCTGTCAATGTAATTGCTAATCTTTTCCGAGTGAACTGCCTTCTCTCTGTAGAGGTTTGTAAGAACTTTGTGTTTTATGCAGTTCCGTGACAATGAATCCAGGTGTGATTTCCTCTCCATGTGTCCTTCTGGTCGTGTGTTTCGCTTTTTGTATCTGTGGATTCATGCCTTTTCTTAGTTCTGAAAAAATAACCAGCCATTAACATTTATTTTCTTTCTTCCTCCCCCAGCCTCTTTGGCTGGAGTTCTGGTTGTGTGCACATGAGATTTTCTTACTTTACTCCCTGTATTTCTTCACTTCTGTCATACGTTTCATCTCATCTTTCTCTCTGCCACATTTTGGTAATTTTATCTGATTTGTCTTCCAGTTCTTGGATTTGTTTCTTAACTATCTAGTCTACTGTGTAACTCAGCTATTGTACTGCTCATTTTAGCCATTGTGTTTTAATTTCTGGAAGCTTTATTACTCCTTTATGAAGTCTGTCTGGTCATTTTTGTGGTCTTCCACTTTTTTTTTTTTTGCCACTTCTTACTCATTTTCTTATGTCATATTTCAATTTTTAAAATTTCCAGATAGAATTATTTCACAGTCTTCTAACACTTAAATGTCAAATCTCTCTCTCTTTTTATGCTGCCTCTTAATATTCATGGTTTCTTCCTGTGCTTTGGAGTGCATTTTATTTTATATTATTTTTAGTTAAGTTTTGTTTCACCTTCGTGCTTGGCTGCATTTAACCTGTGATCATTCTGAAAGATCTGAATTGAGGATTTACTTACCCAGAAAAAAATTGTATTGCTACTACCAGGTACCAGAAGGAACTAGCAGCCTGAAATCTCTGTAATTCTTTAGCCAGGGTCTGACAATGGAGGTCAAGTTGAGCTTCAGAGTTCCGTGGGAACAGGGTGGTAACCACGGTAATCAACGGAGACGATTGTGATTGGTACTATTTCTTTCCACCCGGGACTGTGGCAGAGAAGAGTCTATGGCACTTCCCTTGGCTTTCAGGTGGGTCCCACCCCACCTTTTTCAGGAGACATAGATCCCCAAGAACCTGGCTTCACATGGAAATCTTAGCTTAGCTCCAACTCTAGGCAGGGACCACATCCTATTCCTGACACCCCAAGCTGACAGACGCCCCAAGCTGGCATTGACCCCCAGATTCTAGCTTCTTGATCAATGTCGGCTATTCCTCCAGAGCAGCGCCAGCTTTGTGTTTGCACTATGTTCTTCTACCAACTTTTATGGTTTTGATATGTTCTTATTTATTTCTTCTTCATAGGCAATTTTAATTTCAATGTTTTGAGCCAAACATTTTTTTTAGGTATATATACTGTAATTTACCCAGAATCTGGGAGATGTTTGTGTCTGAGGCCCACTCAGAAGACCTATTCCGTCACGCTGCTCTGAATATGGCTTTATATTTCAGACGCAATGGAGTCAACGTGGATATGAGGAGCCTCGGGATCAAGAGTGGGATGAGACATCTTTAAGATGTCATTTGGTAAAGATGCGAGCCTGGGCCTGATGGTGGACGATCTCAGCTCTTTATCTTCATGATCTGATAATAACGTCTTTGGGAACCTGTCACAGGGGCTAAACAAGGGCACGTATGTAAAGCGCAGGGGCAGCGTCGTGCACGAGTTTTGCCCCGGAATCTGCCAGGAGGACACATGGTTATGTCACTGGCTGCAGTGGCCCCTCCATGAAGCTCATCTGAGGCCTCTGCCCCTCGCGACTGAACCAGGGCCTCCACTGTCGTCCCACTGCACGTGGTTCCTTCCGAAACTGCAGTGACTGGGCATCACTCACGTGGTCACAGGGCAGTCACGCAGGCATTTCTGTCCCCGGTGACCAGCCCCTGAACCTAGGAATGAGTGAGGGGCAGTGGGAGCCCCGCAGTTCTAACCATCACGCTCGTGTTTAGACAGTGCAAGGCGGTTTGCTGCACTGAGGGGACGTGGACACTCAGTATAATCTGTTAAAACCGTAAAGTTGGTTCCCAGACAATGGCAGTTCTTGGGCTTTGCTGAACATGCAGACTTCAGGCTGGTGGCAGGGACCGCTCGCCACTCAGGTGGATGCCCCTTGCTCACATACACCCTGTTTCGGCCCCTGTGGGTGGCCAGGATCTTCTTCCCTAGAGCTGGTAGCTCTCTGGACTTTGGTCCAAGGTAAGCCGTATCCTCACTTATTCACCAGGGCGAGTCCTCAAAAGAAGCTGGAATATGACTACCTGGTCCTTTAAGGAGATTTGAACTCTGATGTTGGGTTACATGCAACAAATGTACCCTCGGTTTGGAAAAAAATAAGAAAGAAAGCATTATCTGTTGTGACTTTTAACATGTCTTTAGTACAGGTTATATTAATATGGGATTTAAAGAAGATGGGTGGATACTGAGTAGCAAACCTGAAGTAATAATTGCCTCAATTTATTTTTCAGAAACCAAAATTAGAGACAAATGTGTCCCCAGTCTCCTTTCTGGAAACACAGCCTCCTCAAACCGGCTATGCTTAATTTAGATAAAAAGCCATTATCCCTCCCGAGTCCTCGGGGTTTCCTGCACCTGCAGCCCTGTTACTTTGATTCATTTCTCCCTGGAATTCATCTGGATCATACGTCGTTTTCAAGGTTTGTTTGTGTAATTTCAACGAGCATTTGCAGGGCACAGGGGTGGGGGGGCATGCTGTTGTGGGCTCAGGGTGCAGAAAGGCGTGGGGCCAGGCATCCAAGATCCGGGTCAGGGCGGGGAGGCACATCAGGAGCCACCGACCTGATTCTCAGGCACGTGGTTGGTGAATTTCAGGCACCATGGGAATACAGAAGAGGTCCAGTTGAGGCTGTCTAGATGGATCCCACAGAGGAAATATGACCAAAACTTGAGGATGAGCAAGAGTGAGGGAGGCAAACCCAGAAGGAAGTGGACGCCAAGGGGAGAAACGTCAGGGAAGGGTCACGGGCAAGGCGTGAGCAGAGAACAAAGAGTGTATCCTTCAAGTCAGAGTGCGTTGAGACCAAGAGAGACGCTCTAAGTCCCTGGTTGGGACCGTGGGCATGAGTCAGCGTGGACCAGGAGAACTGGGCATCTGGCCACTTCATGCGGAGGCACCGACCATCCGGCCTGACGCACACGCGCAGCGCTCTGTCGGTGCTGGGGTTGGTCCCTGGCCGTTCGTGCAGGTCAGGCCAGGCCTGGGCATCCCGAGGGAGGGCCATACCCCTGTTCGGGGCCCAGCTCCCCTGTGTCTGCCCGCAAGCTGGATCAGGCCTCCCACCCGCAGCCCCGGGACTCTCCCGCGTGGAGGAGGACAAAAGCGACTCCTCGTTCTTAACGCCTCACCTTCTTTCACATCCATCTGGTGCCTGTTGCTCTTTGCTTTGCACCAGTTCTCATTAAAAATGCTTGAGCATCCATTTGCTCACAGTCCTTTTGATGCAGAGACTACTCACTCTACTATCTGGAGTGACAGTGAGCATGCGGGTGGTGGGGAGGTGGTCAGGAAGAAGCAGGTGACCTGGCAGAAGGAGCTCGGGTGCTGGGACCCCTGGAATCTAGTCCCACGTGCCTTCTGGAGGGGGCAGCGCTCTGATGCTTTCTGAGATCCTTCTGCTCACTGCCCGATTTATTCCTCACTCTGCAGTGAGGACAGCGTCGCCGGGCCATCACGGGGACTTAGTGGGAATGCCAGGTGGGATGGAGTGATAAACCACTCCTGTAAATCAATCTCTTGAAGTTTTAAGATTGCTTTTTCTACTTAATCCCAAGGAATTTCAAGTCAAAGCTCCCTTTAATGTGAGCTAGAACCAGAGCCAGCTACTTCAGGTCCAGGGCGTACGTTTCTTGTCAATTTTTACTTATAGAGAAGATGGTGGCACAGGAGCAAATAATAATAAACTACACAGTTTCCTTTGTTATAAATTCCACATGGACAGCTGATTCTCATGGAAGGCTTTCACCGACTCTTGCTGGTCTTGTATAAACAGCCAACTAGAATTGCAATGGATGAATGAGAGTAGGTCGGGGCAGAAAGCGGGCTGATATTTCCTTTGCATTGTGAGTAATACATAAGATAAAAGCAAGGCAACTAACACCGCCAGCCAGTGACCGGAGGGACTCCTTTCTGAAGCTGGAGGGTCATGTTCAGGTTCTGGAGGGATCTTTCTTCATCCTCTATGCGATGCCCTGCACAGCAGCTATAATCACACACACTTTTTTTCACTCCTCTGAACCCTGGGCATCCTCTCCATCAAACTTCCAAACAGACCACAAAATGGCAAGCCGCCTGGACCTGTGGTATTTGTCAGTTTCCACGGTGTGAATATTCACAGCGCAGCAGATTTCAGAACACAAACCTGACTCCATTCTTACGGCTGTCGGTCAGTAAGGATGGGGGAAGGGATAGTTAGGGAGTTCGGTACGGACATGTGCACGCGGCTATATTTAAGACGGATTACCCGCAAGGATCTACCATACAGCACAGGGAACTCTGCTCAATTTTATGTGACAGTCTGGATGGAAGGGGAGTTCGGGGGAGAATGGACACATCTGTATGCATGCCTGAGTCCCTTTGCTGTCCGCCTGAAACTATCACAACATTGTTAATTGGCTATAGTCTAATACAAAATAAAAAGTAAAAGAATGTGATTTCCTTGAACGGGAAGGGGGGTCAGTGTTTGGAAGTGATGCTGCGTCCATATGGTTATACTGCGATCCACCACACAGGAAAAGCAGATGTAAACAAGAGCTCAGGAGTGAAAATCCCACTGAGACGCGGTGAAGATATTAGGAGGTGCTGAGTATGCTGAGTAAGCTATTAGGAGGAGCTATTAAGTATGCATCGTCCTTACCTCATGTTCTTAACAGTAAGTTTACACATAGGTTTGCTACGTTGCTTCAGTCGTGTCCGTCTCTGCAACCAAATGGACTGTAGCCCGCCAGGCTCCTCTCTGCATGAAGTTCTCCAGGCAAGAATTCCAGAGTGGGGTGCCGCCTCCAGGGGGTCTTCCTGACTCAGGGATCGAGCTCACGTCTCCTCTGACTCCTCCACTGAAGGCAGATTCTTAACTGCTGAGCCCCGGGGAAGCAGTGCCTATTGTCTTAGCCTCCTAGGGCTGCTTTAACAAATGACAACAAACGGGGTGGCTTAAAGCAACAAACTTTGATTTGCTCACAGTTCTGGAAGCCATAAGTCTGAAATCGCGGTGTCGGCAGGGCCATGCCCCGCCCCCATTCTCCCCGCTTTGGGAGGAATCCCGCCTGCGCCTCAGGCTTCTGGAGCTCCAGGTGCTTTTGCCTGTGGCTGCATCATTCCATCTCTGCCTCCGTCTTCACACGGTCTCCTCCTCTGAGCATCTGAATCTCAAGCCTCCTTGTGCCTTTCTCTTATAAGCCCACCACCCGCCCAAATCTAGCATGACCTCATCTCAGGAGCCTTAACTTAATATATCTCCAAAACCCTTTTTCCAAACAAGCAAGCTCATGGGGACAGGCTCCGAGGGCCCACAGTTCAACCTGCTGCACCCACATCTAAGCAACTCTCTCATAACATGCCTGAAAAACTAACAACCTTCTCTCGTAAGCCAGCCCCGGAACACCGCCAGAAAGGGTGTCCGTTTCCATAACACTTCAGTGAAAATAAAGCAAAGCCCATCTGTCCTCTTGCTCCATCACGTGTTAATAGTTACCAGACCCCCACCAGGTCCCCAGCAGGCAGGGTGCCTGCTCCCCGACGGCCCCGTTGGATCTGGTGGGGGCAGGTAGGGGGCGTCATCCTCCAGGGAGGAGGTGGACGGGGTAAGTGGGCTGGAGGGACCTCCCCGGCAGCGGCAGCTGGGTCAGAGCCCAGAGGACAGGAGGGGCCCTGGGGGGAGGCTCAGTGCCCCTGGCCGCTGCGTCTCTGGAGCACCGCTGCTCGCTCACCTTGAAGATGGCCACGCGGGTGATAGTTCTGAAGGGCCATAACGGGTGGGAGGGCAGCTGAACGGCGTCCCCCAGACCCCCCTGCAGCCGGCCTGCGGGGCGGATGTCGCTGAACGGGGCACCATCCTACTGCGGCTGGCAGCCTGGCTCCCCGGACGCCCACTGAGCTGATGGTGGTGGGCTCCACGCCTGAGTCATCACTGGTGAGAAGCTGGGGGAAAGCAGGGAAATTGTCCAATCCGGTGACATTTTCCTTGACGGGGGAATCCATGGCTACAGGGCTTCTGCCAGGGTCTGAAAAGGAAAGCAGGTGGGAGCTGGAGGGGAGACGGGCCCGCATGGTGGGCGAACCGGTTCTGCTGCAGGACAGGCCGGGACCTGCCCGAGGGCTCACCCTGAACCTCGGCTTCCTCCCCTACCAGGCTCTGCTGCGCTCGCTCCTTCCAGGGTGTGCCGGAGGACTGAAAGGGGGAAGGCACGAGAATAACACACCCCCAAGGTCAGGGTGATCGGATTTGCTGGACACCAGGTCCGAGAGGATGGGGTCAGGCAGAGTCGGTGCGGGGTCGGGCGGAAGCTTCAAAGTCTAGTCCCTGGCTGGGGGCTGCAGGAAAGCTGTGTCATTCACCCTGGCAGGTGGCCCGGCCCTCCCCGTGGCCCCGACAGGAGCCGGTAGGAGAGCAGAACCCAGGTGTCCTCCCCTGTCTCCACCTGCAGCAGGTGAGCTGGTGTCTGCCGGATGTGGGCATCACATGGGGGTTTCAGAGTCAGGACAGGGGTGCTGCGGAAGTCACCCCACAGGGCGCCGACACAGGACGCCCCTCGAGGGGCCATCAGCAGCTTCCTCCCCACATCGGAGGGGTGACAGTACACTCCATCCCCAAGGGTGTTGTTGAAGATGAAATATGTCAAAACATGTCCAGGTAAGCACCACCCACTTCAAATGCCAGCTCAGGGGCTGGAGCCAAGGTCTCCCATTTCTTATATCTCTGTTCTTTCCATAAAGAAAAATACAGTTTCAGAAAAAAAAAAAAAAGACTCTGTTTGATCCTAAAACCCCAAGACTACTCTGCCCTGAGTCCACTGCTGCCCACACCTGGTCCCCGTCTGTCCACAATGGGGGTGGCCCAGTTAAGCTCCGGTTGAGTCCAACACTTGGAACTAATGAAAGAGCAATCCCTCAACACACACAAGCATTTCCTTCTCACAGCTGCTTTTGGATGGAGAATCATTGAGTCTCAACCTGTTGTCTCTCATCGTTTGATGGGCTGACTCACCCTTGGTTGGAGGCACTCAGGACGTTCTTGCCCAGTTCCCGGATAAGTGGTTATCATCAACCAAACAACGTAAGGTCGGTTTTCCAATGCAGTGCGTTGACGTTTTGAGTTTGTCTGATTGCTGTGTGTGTGGTATTTCTGAGGGAAGTGACTGCTTTTCACTAGATTGAGCACCTCCCTAAAAACCATCATCTGATAAGCACTCTTCAAGGACCTGCGATGTGCCAGCTGGGGTGTCAAGGGCGCCCGGGGCCTGCACCCCACCCTCTCGACCTCACAGAGGGTGTGTGCCACACAAGGAAATCATGCCCGTGATTGCCACTTTGCCTGGAATAGCAGCCCAGTCAGGTGGAGTGAACCGAGGACCAGGCTTTTCAAAGACCTCTCCCTCTCTGCTACGTAGACCTGTCTTGCTGGGGTTGCGTAGTGAGAGACAGGTTGGACAAGGCCAACAGGTCCGTTTGCAGAGGGATTTTCATTCTGGGCCACTGAGGGTGGACCGTGTGTCATGGGAGATGGAGCCTTGTCTTTTGGGGGAAAGGTGTTGAGTTGCCCTTGCTCTCAACGGTTCGGTTGGAGGTCTGGAGGCAGGGGGACGTCCACAGTGACCCATCAGAGGCACGTCTGACCTGAGGGGCAGGGGCAGAAGTCAGCAGCCCTGGGCTTCACTGTTGGCAGCTCTGGCCTATGCGGCTCTTACTTCGGGCTGACAGTGCTGCCTGAGGAACTGGCTTGGATCCCACCAAGACCAGTCCTGGCCCGAGTCGTGCATCTCCTGCTAGAGTCCAGGGATTGGTCATCACCAGGCACAGAGTTTCCCCGGTGTCTCCGTCCCCACCTGAGATTCTCTGTCAACAAGGCAAAATGTCAATAAATAGATGATAAATGTAAAGCGAGTCCAAGAGCCTGCACTCTGTAATCTGACAAAGTTTTAATCTCATGTCTGTCTTAAAAGCTGCGAGGTACTTTGGCCATGATTTATCT